GCTGCTCTGCTGAAACTAGTTGCTGCTGTTCTATGATCTCTTGCTGCCTTTGTCGTTGGTGCCATGGCGGAAGAGATCGAATTGGTTGTGCAGGTAGGTGTATGCATTCTGTATTTGACTCGGTAAATAATGCATATGTTTGGTGTTCATTTGCAGAAATAACTCGCTGTGACGCTGATGATGGGCCATCCGCCCGGATCTGCTGCTGCTGCTCAGCTGTTCGCTCGATAATTACGTGCTGCCTTTGTTGTTGATGTCGTGGCAGGGGCGACCGAATTGGATTTGCAGGTAACTGTGTGCATTCTGTCTTGGCTCAGTCAATAATTCGTATATTTGGCCTTCATTTACAGAATTAACTCGCTGCGTTTTTGTGGATGGGCTATCAGCCCGGCTCTGATGCTGTTGCTCAGTGTTCCCCTTCTGCCTTTGTCGTTTGTGTCCTGGCAGAGGAAAACTAATTGGCAGGCTATGTTGTTGCTGTTGCCATGGCTGGAGGGGCTGTCCTGTTGAGATAAGTTGCTGCTGCTCTATGATGTGAAATGTTGGTGTGGCTTCTGCTGGGCTCTGCTGCTGCCGCTCCATGTTTCTCGGCTGTGTAAATCTTTGTATCAGATGCTGTTTTTGTTTTTGGTGTCGTGGCATGGGCGACCGAATTGGCTCTGAAGGTAAGTGTATGGATTTCACACTTAGCTCCGTCAGTTGTGGACATGTTTGTTTTATATTTGCAGATGTTACTGGCTGCTGCTCATTGTTTCCCGGTAACCCTTGTCGTTGATGCTCTGGCAGCGGGAATCTCATTGGCAGGCTTTGTTGTTGTTGTTGCCATGGCTGAAGGGGCCAGATTGGAGGCATGCCGAACATGGCTATGGTCAGCTCAGAGGCTCGCTTCTGCTGACAAACTTCGTGCTGCATTTGCTCGCCTGCTAGTGTATATTGCTGCCTTGTCTGCTGTGGCCTGAAAAGTTCGTGTTGGATTGTCGACACGGGGTGGTGAAGCCGCAGCGCGGCCAGCTCCGCTCGTGGTTCTGCCGACCCCGACACTTGGTGATGTTGCGCTGATATATATCAATAATTCACTGAAACGTTTTGGTTTTTTTTTT